TTCCATTAATTACCAAAAAAACCCCAAAAATAATTTGGTAAATTTAAGATGACTCTTAATTGGTCACTTGATGGGATTAAATTGAGCAATTACCCTCCTTTAATTACCTTGGTATGGTCTTCCACTGGACTGGAACATGGTCTTCACAATTACAGCTAAGCGCCTTGCTAGCTTGTAGACCATTAAATGGATTGTTTCAGTTTTATTCAACAAAAGGGGGGAATTTGGTGCAGCCCATCTGTGAAGATTAGGGTTTTACCAAAATTGTTATATGGAGTTCTATTGTGGGCCACAACAAATTTAGATTAATTAGAAAGAACTGAAAATAAATCCTACATAGACTTCTGGCAATCCCTGTGACCACAAAATTAGAATTGCCTCATGTAGAACTTGGTGTAATGACCAAGTTTTGCTGTTTTGTAAAAATAAGGTTTAAGCAAATCTCAAAATCTATTCTGGAGTCATTTCAAGAGATGGGCCCAAACTCATTGAAGGAAAAAATGCAGCTGGCTGTCATGAGCTTGAGGTTCTCTATCGCCTTCCTTTTAGCTCAAGGATACGAGCAATACTGCTTCAAAGGCTTAAAGATACTGAGATGCAATCTCAGGAGCCTGGGATTAATGCCTGCCAATCTTATTCTTCCTTTATTCCTTGATATGTACCTCTCCTAAAATATCTGATAGATTTGCCAAATATTAAAATAAGGGTTAGCCCTTACTTACCAGAACAAGATTATACCTGATTTTATATGGCCAAGTCCAGATTTGTTCTACCACTCAGTGAACTAGATGTAAACGCCTGTGAGGAAGCTTATTTTAATCTTACAGGTATGATTCTCAAAGTATAGGGCCCTAAACAGAAATCAGGTAGTAAATTCAGTTTGTGAACTACAGTTTTGTATGTGCAACCATTTTTTAACCATGTGGTTTATGCAAGTTTGTTTACACATATATCCCCCAGAAAGCTTAGTAGCAAGGCTAATGACTTCTTTGGTGATCTGATCTAGTGGTGTTGAAAGAACCAGTTATCTTCATGTAGACAAAAAGATACTACTACTATCACTCATTGTCACTGATGGTATAAACCTCTGCAAGTTTTATCTCTAAAACTCATGAATCTCATAGCCACAAGAATCCTAACTTTGCCAGAGAAATAGCAACTAAGAGTCTGTCAGTCATAATGTCTGTCATAATGCGGAAAATATCTCCATATAAACTTAAAGTTCTAGCCCTGGAGCCACAACCATGCCTGTTTTCATCAGAAAACTCATCAATTACTAGTTGTTGGGAAAGACCCTCTTGTGAAAAGAAGTAGGGGGAAAATCAATCCAAACTGTGGAATTTCAATATGAAAGCTGAATGGGCAGCATGAAAGAGGTGTGGAAGAACCTCAGCTCCAGGATTACACTGGAGAAAAGAACTCAAATACCTCTGTTAACTGAGCCAAGCCCTCTGCTCAATTACTAAGAAGTGTCTGTGGGGAACAGTTTTTTTTTTTTAATTAAATGGGAATCACTTGGAAGGAGCAGGTGGGTGGGGAAGAATAGGATGAACTAGACCTTATTCCCCCTAATGACAAATGTCTGACTAGCTTGGTAATCTGCTTTCTATTTTAAAAAGCACAACACTTCATTTTGTGGAATCAGCAAATCTAGTTTGTTTATGAGTACTGTTACCAAAGAAATCAGTATCTTTTCTCTTTTGTCTCCACATTATCACTTTGGCTCAAAAGCCTCTAGTCGAAACATCTTAGATGACAAATGCTAAGAAATTAGGACAGGGGTGCATTTTTCTGTTCCTGCTGACATTCTCAATTGAAATTGAAGAGAGAGTGCCACAGTCCTGTATATGCTAGCCTGGAAACACCTTGGTCTCACTCAAGCCAAATCACCTATGCTTCCTAATTTGGTCAAGGCACCACCATGCCATCTATTGGGAGAATTCACACAACACAAATATACAACAGCACCAGTCAGGCTGTAGGTTGATTGCCCAAGGACACACAACGCACTTGCTAGGTGATAAAACACATTGTGCATGAGCATTCACCACCTCTCCTGAGTACGCCAGGGGACCCTGCAAGAGCATCAAGGTTCCCTCCTCCCATCACCACCAGTGTAGGAGGAAGGGAAAAATTCCTGGGTATCTTGTGGTTCAAAGTGGGAGTTTGAGTCTCTTTTTCTGAAAGATCTCCCTGGGCTTTTGAAGAATCTGACAGTTCATTTCAATGGGGATTAGATACTTCAAAAGAACAGAGGAGATATACCTAACTGCAGACTTACAGGGGAAGTGGACAAGGTGGGTGCCTGCAGAACTTTGTGAGCACCCCACCCCTACCAAGTAGTCACCACAAGGCCTCTACTGCTGCCCGTTCATAACTGTGCAAAGGAAGCAAGAACAATTCAGATTTATTTTTCGCAAATATTTGCAAAAGTTAACTTGGATGAAAAAGAAATTAAAAATAGCCACCCCTAGCAACTTTTGCAAGCTTAAAGGTAGAGTCATGATGGCTCATGGTAGTGTCTGGGATTCAAAACGCACACTGGGCAGTATTTGGAATATGCAAGCTGAGTGGCTTGTCATATCATGCAAATCCAGACATCCAGTGGGTTATTTAAGGATTAAACAATTCTTAGATAACCACAAAACTACACAGGAGTTGTCAGAGGGTTGTTTAACTCTCAGGTAATTAACAATGAATGGGTTTACATGATACAACATGTGGTGAATCTCTTGTACAACTTACATCATGCTTATCATGATGAGTAAAGCAGTTCACTGTCTTATGTGAACTGGTCAATATCGCACAGCTATCCAAAGTCTCTTTAGTATTCAAATAACCACAACAATACAACAAGCTGTGGTGTGTTTCTGCAATGGTCTGCACATTCAAAATGGTGGCCAGAATGTCTCAAAGCTTCCTTGAGTGAACTAACTCGGAGTGGCTTATTGTGACATGTGAACCTGTCCAATATTTACTTGAAGCCAGCATTTGCTAAGGGAAGATTTTGATTACCATTTTTTTCAACCATAAAGCTTTCAGGACTGGCCAAGAGTAACCTCCTTTTTAAACAATGGGACCAGTCAATATTGCACAGGCTGGCAAGAGGAAGAGCTTCTGAAAAGTCAGTAAGGAAAACTTTTAACAGGCTTCCTCTGTTTCAGGTCAGTGACGGCTGAGTTGTATAACCAGTTTCTGCCTAATAACAAAACCACTAGTTTTTACATTGAGAAACTGGAAAACAGGCAGACAGTTCCCAATACTATCTGGAAAGACCTTCTTGGGGGCAACATAAAACAGGCCTTCAACATGTAAGACAGATAGATGTTATTTCACCTGTTTGGGAGATATGTTTGGAACACCAATCTCTGTACACACCTGAAATATTCATTTCTCTCCAGGGAATAAGCTGTTCTGGAAGAATATGGGTTAGGTGCTAGGGAACCTTTTCCATTCTGTAGCCATGCCAGTATTCTGCCAGAGGACAGGTTGTGCATCTTGAATCCCTCACAGGTTAATTAACCCACAGTGGCTTATTGTTGATTATCACCAGGAGGCTGTCTTTTATGAAACGTCCCATATCCCACAGTCATAGATTATTAACTCCATCAAAAGTTGTAATAACAACCACTGCTTTTCATGACACGTTAGACTGTCAGGTGCTGACATAGTATTGACTCAGTCTCCAAATAATACAAAGACAGAATAGATTAGTATATATACTGACAGGATGGCAGACATGTGCAAGCTAAGCTTGCAAATGATAGAAGACAGCCATCAATTTGTACAAATTATTAATCAACTGGGTACGAGGTTTGCAACCTGCATGAATTGGTCTCCATGACAGTCCACCTGTTTTATAGACCGCTCATCATATTCTTATGTGAGTGGAATTGGGAGCACTTTTGACTGATGTTAAAATTGGATGTTAAAACGCTACATAAGCAAATCCTTCTAAGCATCTATAAAAAGTCAACTATTAAGTGAAAATACAAATATAGGGAGAAAAAAGGCTCAAAAACTAAAGCTAATCTCAGTCATGCAAGGAAGCTGAAATATAATTTACTATTCAAAGAGAGAATACTGTATTAGAAAATATAGAAAATATATTTTATAAAGGTAGGGCAGTATCCAATGGAGTCTTCTGTGTATACACAACTTACATATTGCTAACTTAAGTGATCTCTAGTGCAACAGTAATAATGTAAGCAGAAGCAAAGTATTTTACAGAAAATGCCATCTTAATAATGCCACGATTGGTGTTGTGCTAGAGGTCACTCATGCTAAGATTGTATCACAGCATAGGTGCATTGAAAACTGCGTACAGTCAGGCGTAAAATAAAACAAGTTAATATTTTTGGAAATCTAATGATTTGATCATGGAGGCCAAACAGCTGCAACAATATTCCAGGAAGCCTTCTCCAATTTGGTACTCTTGAATTACAACTTCCAGTTTCCTGACTATTGCCTATGCTAGATGGTGGGAAGTGAAGCCCAAAACATCTGGAAGATCCCAGGTTGGGGAAGACTGTTCTAAAACAAACAGTAGCTCCCACTTGGAAAAAAATGATATTCACAATGTGTTTCTCTTACCATCAGGCTTGGGAAAGGCACTCTACAAGAGGTATCTCTGAAGTAGTAAGAAACCTCTGTCAATTCTGCTGCATATGCTAGCATGCTGACATCTCTTCAAGGACTATTTTTGTCTGATAAGAGCCAGGAGCACACTAACTAATTTCTATGTGTATAAATCCTGACTATGTGTATAAAATATTAATTTCAGGTTCCTCATGGAAGTGTATAATAAACTTGCACAGGTAAATTTCAAGTTTAAATTACTTATGGCTGAGAATGACTTATTACTGAAATTACTACAGTAATTTTAATACATATATTTTAAAAACAACAAACCCTTGTAAAAAATTTTACAAGCGCATTTATAAAAATGCCTTTAAATATCCGTGTCAATATGAGCAAAGATACATCAACATAAATTTTACCTGGGAAGCAGGTTGTTAGGTGTTCCATTAGTGCTTCTTGTGTGACTTGTTTTCGTGCTGAGTTCATTGCAGAGATGGCCAAACAAAGAATTTCCCCAAGTGGGATAAACTGTGATTGACTGATGGGAGACATACTGATGGGTGATACATCACCTGCAAAAAGAAAATGGGCTTTCAGGCAAGTATCTTGCTTAATAGTCATTAACTCAGGTTGACATTATTAAAACATGCTAAATCCTAAGTCTTAGCTTAAAAGAAGGGAGGGGAGAAAGTGGTGAGGAGGCTAACATGAATAAATCTCAAACAGTATTGGAACATTACTACACTTGAAATTAGGATCCTTATCCTGTCTAGAGTACATACATAAGGCAGAGACAGATGGACAATTCTATAAAACTCTACACAATAGAAGAAAAAGTTGGAGTCGTTTTATTAGTGGCATCAAGAATTTAATGAAAAAGGTCAGGAATTAGTAGGCCCTGAAATCATTGGCCCATCTGAGAATGGAGAACCTGATAGGACTAAGGCCAAAAGGACTAAGTAACTTTTGAAGTATTCAAGGATATAAGTTTTAAGAAGAGAAAGAGAAAGAGAAAAACACCTACAGGCTGCAATAGAAGCATTTTTATTTTTCCATACAACTATGGGGGAACATACTTCTAAATAAATTCATTAATAATCAATAAGCTATTTTTACCAAGAATGCTTTTTTTTTTAAATGTCCCTCAATTTGTTAGCATAACAAATTTGTTTGGAACATTATTTCCAAAATGATGTGGCATCGTCAAATCTGTTTAACTCACTGCCCCAACCCAGTATTCCAGGACTTCAGCATTATGTGGCCAAAACAAAAAATAGAAAAACTTATTAATGATCTACTTGGGTTTGAAAAGAGAAGCTTTCGGATTCATAATGGAAAAATCAGCACTTTCACACAGTCATGTTATTTCCCTCAAGATGGGACTACATTTTTCTTAAAGTCAAATGTATTGTATCAGCAGAACACTTCAAGTCTACATCTTGCCTTTTTCCTTCAAGGCTAGTTCTCCCTTGTTGACTTAATTGTACCAATCCAGATCGCAATAGGGAATGGGGGCTCATAAGATTGAAAACTCACTGATACCAATCCCACCTCCCATAGAAAACCAGATGTGTAAGCATAGAGCACTGATTTTCTATAGTTTTCTGCTGTGGTCTGAAGTGGTGGTGCTTGGACACAAGTTTACCTTTTCAGCGAAATCTAGGCCTCTGTGATAACTTTTCCCCCCACATGGTCCCTAAGGTACGATGATATTTAGTATATATAGCATCAAGTAACCATATGAACCAGAGATTGCCTTTACCAACGAAGAATACAAGAAATAAACAGTCAGAGAATAAGGAGGTCCTCTGCATTCAAATTCCTTTCAGGGTGGGTTTTTATCTTTAGACAGATATTCATGGCATGCAGTTTACCACTCAAGGAATTTTGTGTGGTGTGGTATCTGTTCGTACAATTTTAAGGGTCAAGCTAGAGATGAAGCTATTCATGCAATTATGAGCAATTGCATGAGTGGCTTTTTAAAGTAAACTGTATGTGCAGTGGTTCCTATGATAGTTTTGCCCCAGTGTCAATAGTAGGTACAATTCCCTTCTGATGTAATCAGCATCAGTGCATGGGGCAAAGGTTTACAGAGCCAATGCCCCTTTCCTCATACCTGGGTCCTGGTCTATATTGGGGGTTCCTAGTTTACTATGCACTTTAAAAAATCATTTACACAACTGTGTGTTGTATGAACTTCATGATGTCTAGATTGGCCTGCAGATTTACCTGCACAATTTTACTCTGTGTATGCCAAGAAAACCATTTTTATTCTGTGTTCTAGCAGCCTGTACAGGCAAGACCAAACCCTAACCCTTACTAATTGGTCTAAACAAGTTCAGTTGAGTGCTGATGAGAACTTTCTGCCTCTCCCCTGAAAAAACCTCAGCAGATTGTTTCTAGCCAACTTGTGACTAGCTAAAAGGGAGCAGATTTGGGATATAAAACTAAATTGCTTCATTTTGTCTTGTGCACTGACTTGGAAGGTTTGTTTCCTGTGATCCTGGTCTTCTGAAGACCTGTATCACAAGTACATATAGACAGGTTTAGTTAGTTTTGCTGTTCTCTCCCCTATAAGAATTGTTTCCACACTTTTTTCTGGTTCTTCCCTTTTCCTGATTTGTAAACAAAATCATCACCACTCATGTTTGAATGTGTGCTGTTTCAGCTCTTGGTTACTGGTACTATTTAAAGTTTCAGGCCTAGGGCTTTGAAACAAAAGCTTCTGGCTTAAGCCCTTGCTTCATAAGCCTTACTGATGTCCCATGATTTCAGTGGCTCAAGCTAAGTTGGATATAAGGGGTGGGGATAGCCTACCCTGCTGGACTGCTGTTCAACTAAGCAAATAGTATCCCTGCCTACACTGTGGAGAGTTACAGTGCTCCCTGTCCTTTCTTTGCAGCATAGTTGGCACTGTTTTGTTTCAATCTGTAATCTGTTCTGATAGTTCTTTTAGACTGAAAAATTTGGCATAAATTTTCTATTTTAAAAAAATTAAAGGACCCTGAGATACTACAACAGTATTTTGCACACAGCATTACATTAGCCAGATGGTAGCCATGTTAATCTGCTACAACAAAAACACCAAAGATACATTTTCTTGGTCTTGGGGTGCCAGAGTGATTGTGAACATCAGTTGTTATCCAGTTATAAACTGATTTCCATGGGCTCATGGGCGTTTAGCTCCCTCTGTGCTGAATTCTAGGGAAATGGTCATGTCAGAGAAGTGCAGCAATCTAACAAAGCATTGAACATTTTATATGTGTATAGCTTCTATACCGACCTGTGGTCACTGTATTTAGTTCTGTGACTGAATAAAATATGCAGCTACTATATTTTAGTTAAACCAAAGCTTATGAGTACAAAACAAATTGCTTCTGAATGCTTCTGCAAATGTGAAAACTATTTTGTTGTTACACTTATATTGGTTGTAAAAACAAATGGAAAGTCTGGTAAATGTTTACGTCAGCCTAATTGCTCCTGTCTCCTAAAAAGCCCATCATAACTCAATCCTTCTTTCTTTAAAGAATTGCTAGTTGTTGTTTTTCATGACAGGGCAATACTCATTCATCTTCGCTGAGGCCACAGTTAAATCTATAGGCTACTGTTGTCTATAAGTCATCTACCAGAGATAATTTGTGACCCCTCGTATGAAAGACGCAATAGGAAAACTCACAAAGAACCGTGACAGCTCCTCTTCCTCTTACCTACTTCTTATCTTACTAAATTGCTTTACTTTATCTCAATACTCCTGGGAACCTGGAAATTACAAATACACTGTTATTGTAGTTAACTAAACAACTTCTGAGATGTTCAACGAACAAACAAAATATCCTTTGTTTTTCAATTAAACTGAACATCACAAAACACACAATTAAAAAGAATATTTGTTATAGTCTGTTTCCTAGTCTTTCAGGAAAAAGGTCAATACTATAAAAAAATGCACTTTTACCTTGAAAAAAAAAATTGGTGATCAACCATATGGCTCCTGTTAACTTGGAGGATCACTGCTATAGTGAAGCAGCTCTCCTTTGAAATTACACTACTGTATTCAACTTTCCTGCAGGTGACACAGTGGTTTAAACCGCTGTGCTGCTGCGCTGGTAGATCGAAAGGTCACCAGTTCAAATCTGCACAACGGGGTGAGTCCCTGTTGCTCTGTTCAAGCTCCTGCCAACCTTGCAGTTTGAAAGCATGCAAATGCAAGTAGATAAAAAGGTACCACTTTGGTGGGCAGGTAACAGTGTTCTGTGCACTTCGGTGTTTAGTCATGCCAGCCACATGACCACGGAAACTGTCTGCAGACAAACGCGGCTCCCTCGGCTAGGAAATGGAGATGAGCACCGCCCCCTAGAGTCAGGCATGACTGGACTTAATGTCAAGAGGAAACCTTTACCTTTTATTCAACTTTCCAGTGTTTGTGTTGCAAATTAAACTATGGACAAACTATGGACTTCAGAAAAAAAACCCTTTTGCAACCTGACTGTATATTTTACTCATATACCTCCAATTTGGGTGTTTCATCACTGTTGCTACCAAGTGAAAGAACAGCAGTCAACCTAAAAAGAAAACAAAAACTACCTGTGACTTAGTTATTACACTGGGCAAGTCATTTGAACTTGCTGATCATACAAAATATGCTTGAACAAACAGTTTTTTGTAGGTGTCATATACCTGCAAAGTACTGCATACTGTTAATTAAAAAACAAAGCTGCTATGCAGCACCTAATGAGCACGCACCATTATTCCATTTTATAGATGGGTAAAAAGGAATTGATGTCTACAGTGAAGCTTGGAGCAAACTGATTGTGACTCTTTATGCAGAGGACCCCTTTTTTGTTCTATGTACTATTAAGTTAGTTATACACATTATATATTATGTGATTAGAAAATTTGCTGTACCAAAGGAATAAAGGATATACAAAGAAATCAATCACGTTAAAACCACAGTACCTTTTTTTTTTTTTTTGGACAAATTTGGTTGGAGTCTTAAATGCAAACTAACTTAGGAGCTATTGTCAGGGGCCCATAGTTTTGGTTGTCTCAGCAATTGTTCCGCTGCCCTCTGGTGAAAACAACAAAACAAGCTGCAGCTTGGAACTGAGAAGGGGATCTGCCATACCGGCCACCAACCTTGTGGCCCTACACTGCACTGACTCTAACCTGGTAATATCCTTCTGCAATGAGGGACCTAAAACTGAGCACAAAAAGTGGTAGTAATACCTCTCTCAATCTAGAAGCCACACTTCTGGCTATGCAACCAAGGGTGGTGTTCGTCCTCTTGACCACCATATCACACTGCTGACTCATGTTTCACCTGCAGTCAACCAGCACTCCAAGATCCCTTTCACAAGTGTGTTGGGACAATCCAACTTAAGCAAAATGACTTTTCAACACTTGAAAATTATTTTACATGCAGGAATTTGGTGGGAAATCCAAATCACCCTCAACTCTGGCAACAGTGCGCAAAATGAATGCTCAATGAATGATATTAGAAGGCTATCATAAGCCATTCTCTCTTAGGAAAGGCTCCATCCGGCAATATGGGGAAAGACTATACTGGCATTTAAAA